GTGCTTTGTTTCTCCTTGCTGGGAGACATTTCCCCAGAAGTTAGAATAATGTTATCATTTCTTTGAACCATCTCATCATAATCAAAATAAAAAAGGACCCACAGCAGGTATAGACGTGAGATGCAACCGGCCCTTGAAGTGCTTAGTTTCTCCTTGCAGTTTCTCCTTAGTTTCCTAATCCATTAAAGCCCAAAAGTTGGACTTGTGTTATAATTTCTCTGCCACGCTCCACACGCTTTGCAAATAGGAGGCCAGAGAGACGAAGGCTTGCCAGGATGGGTTTCTCTAGGAAGGGAGTGTATTATCGATGTGATGTTTTTAAACTATTGTGTATGAACCCCCTTGTTGTAAACCGTCCTGAGTCCCTCGTTGGAGGTGAGAAGACCGGTATATAAAAGTTCTAAATAAATAAATAAATAAGGGAGCTTCTTCGCTTTCGTCTCCCAAAGCAGTTCCTCTCCTACTTTTGCAGCCAGTTTGGTGACTGTACAAGGTATTCCACTGATTACCATGAGCATGGCCAACCAGGTATATACGCCGAAAACAATTTAGGTAAGTCCCAGGTACCCCTGATCCTCCCACCTTGCATAACTACAATTCCCAAGTACCCCATATCACCCTGCTTTGCAAAACTACTGCTCCCAAGTAGCCCTGATCCTCTCGTACTGGAAAACTGCAACTCTCACATTCCCCTGATCCCCCGCCTTGTAGAACTACAACTCCCAAGTTCCACTGATCCTCTCGCCTTGCAGAACTACAACTCCCAGGTACCCTTGATCCTCCTGTCTTGGAGTACTAGAACTCCCACATGCACCTGATCACCTGCCTTGCAGAACTACAACTCTCAAGTTCCACTGATAATTTTGCTTTGCAAAACTACAGTTCTCGAGTACCCCTGATCCTCCTGCCTTGCAGAACTACAACTCCTTGCTGTCCCTGATCCTCCTCTCTTGCAAAACTACAACTCCCAGGTACCTTGTTCCTTCCACTTTTCAAAACTGCAACTCCCATGTACCCCTGACCCTCCCACCTTGAAAAACTATAACTCCCAGTACCCGATCCTCCTACCTTGAAAAACTACAACTCCCAGTACCCCAGTCCTCCTGCCTTGAAAAACTCGCCAAGTTTCCCATATCCTCTCTCCTTGCAGAACTACAACTCCCAGGTCCCCCTGATCCTCCCACATTGAAAAACTACAACTCCCAGGTCCCCCGATCCTCCTGCCTTGAAAATTCCCAGGTATCCCGATCCTGCCTTGAAAAACTTCAAGGTACTCCTCTGCCTTGCAAAGCTACAATTCCCAGGTATCCCTGATCCTCCCTCCTTGCAGACTACAACTCCCAGGTGCCCCTGATCTTCCCACCTTGAAAAACGAAAACTCCCAGGTAAGCCAGTCCTTCTGCCTTGCAGAATTACAGACCCCAGGTGCCCCCAATCTCCAACCATGGCAGTGAAGAGGTGACTGTCCTTACCTTGCAGAATTATAACTCCTAAATATCCCAATCTTCCTGCCTTGAAGAACTACAACTCTCAATTGCCCCTGATCCCAAGCATTGGTGGGTTACTGGGAGCTGTAGCTCTGCAAAGGGAAAATGATCATATCCCTACTTTTGTCTTTCTCTCTTGAACCACACAAATTTTATTTAATACTCTCCCGATCAAATTTGACTTTTGTCTTCCTTTTACAAACCCACACTGATCTTTTTATTATGTACTTATACATATATTTATTCATTCTGTTGGCTTCCATTTTCTTTTTGTGTGTGGATTTGGCTAATATCTTTGAATTCCTATCACTAAATTAAAAAAAATCCCTCCTTAAATATATTAAATTTTCTTGTACCTCATCTATTTCCATTTTATCCAGTTCCTCTTTTTTAGCCCTCAACCTTACATAAATTTGTATATCTCTCTTTATTGCATACTAGCTTGGGGACCCGGCGCTGCCCGGGTTATTAGTGGGTAATGGGGGTTTTGTATGCCAAGTTTGGTGTTGATCGGTCATTGGATGAGGGTTGCACTGTTTTCAGGAAATGAGTGAAAGTACTGCAAGTCCCATCATCCATGGTCCAGCCTCCTACAACTGCAGGAGGTTGTAGAGTGGGTCATGGGGGCTCTGTGTGCCAAGTTTGGGTCTGGTCTGTGATTTGTAGGGGCTACAATGTTCTGTGGGAAGTGAATTGGGTGAAGGTACTGCTAATCCCATCATTCGTGGCCCATCCTGCCCTAAACTGCACCAGGGTTTAAAGTGGGCCATTGGGCCTCTGTGTGCCAAATTTGGTCCTGATCCATCATTGGTGTGGGCCACAGTGCTATAAGGAATTTAAAGTACTGCAAGTCCCATCATCCATGGTCCATCCTCTTTCAAACTGCACCAGGATGTAGAATAGGTCTTGGTGGATCTGTATGCCAAGTTTGGTCTTGTTCTGTCATTGTTGGGGGCCACAAGCTGTTTTGGACTTCAACTCCAACCATTGGAATGTTGATGCTGGCCAATCAGAGACCATATGCAAATTGTACCACAGTGGCAGCCAATCAGAACGCTACCACATACACGCCCCGTCCTCCACATACAAACATTGACTTTTATTATATACAGCTCCTCTACCTCTTTTTCTAGATTCCTTTTCCTTTCTTCTTGCCTTTTTTGAGATTAATTGTCTCCTTTATACACAACCCTCTCACCACTACTTTCATTGTGTCCCATAGCACTCTCTTTGATACTTCCGTTTCATTAAATCCCCAAATTTCTTGCCATTCTGATTTCACTCTATCCACAATCTCGCTATAATTCAGAATTTTCGTATCCAATCTCCACCCCCTCATTCAGTCATAATCACATTTCAAAGCAATCTCAATTGACACCAAGGCATGATCTGAAATCTTGATAATTCCAATATCAGCATTTAACAATTTACTTAACATGTTTTTAGAAACAAAAATGTAATCTATTCTTGTAAAAACTTTATGTACAGCTGAAGTGGCAACCTTTGTCGTTGTCCAGACGGACTACAGCACCTATGCCGTTGTCTTTATCGACACCAAGCTCGAGCTTTTCGGTAAGTGATGGACAGATCCTTGAAAGCCATGGGCTTCCCGGTGCATCTACACTACGGGATTGAATGTGCTTTTGGTAGCCCTTGAGCCACCACGGCTCCACAGCAGGGGATCCTGGGTGTAAACAACAGATCCCAGGATCCCATGGTTCAAGGGGTACCAAAAGCGTGTTAAATCCTGCAGTGTGGATGCTCCCAACAAAGGCGGAGGGGCTGAGACACAAGCCAATGTTTTATTCTCCCAGTAAATATGGCTGCACCACTTTCGGGATCCTTCCAGGTCGCACGAACACAAGCAACAACGAGATGAAGAAGATCTTTAATGACGTTGCGGCCGCCAATGGTTACCCAGTGGAGAACATTTCCTACCCTGTTGTTAAAAGTAAGAACTTTGTGTGTGTGTGCGGTGGGGGGAAATTTGGAGGTTATGACACGGCTACCCATGTCTTCTTGGACTACAATTTTCATGGCTGGGAGTTGTAGTCCAGCGCTCTCTGGCAGAGGAGGCCCAAGGCCTTGGGAAACTACTATTCCCAGGGCCATATGAGGTCAAATGACTGCAGTTTGATATGACTCTAATGGCCACAAATGCGATGCTGGGAGTTGTAGTTTGCCGCTCCACGGCGGAGAAGGCCTGAAACCTTGATAAACAACAACCCCCAGGACCCCACAGATCGTCTTGGGAGGCCCTGCTCTCAGTCCCGTCTCCTTCGCAGATGCGATTGGCGGGAACGAGAGACAGGGCCTTCTCAGTGGTGACCCCTCAGGTATAGAACGCCCTTCCTAGGGATATTAGATCGGCCCTCTTTTTGATCAAGTATTTGCAAATGCAATATAACAGGCTAATTTAGATCCACAGAACGATTGGACGATGCGACTGGAAAATGATTTTAGTAATGAGACGCTTGTGTTTTATTGTTTCTATTGTTCCTATTGTTTCTAATATGGCTTATATTATATGTTAATGTTTTAATTATATTTTATGTTGTTGGGGGCATTGAATTAGGCTGATTGTAAACCACCTTGAGTCGCCTTCAGGCTGAGAAAGGCAGTATATAAATATGGCAAATAAATAAATAAATAAATAAATAAATATTCATCTATAACAACAACAATAACAACAACAACAACAACAACAACAACACTTTATTTATATTCTGCCCTTCTCACCCCAAAGGGGACTCAGGGCAGATCACAGTACATATACACGGCAAACATTCAATGCCGTTTTGTATCAACAATACACAGATGGACAGAACAGAAGGAGGTGGTTTGTTTCAGCTGTTTTTGGAAGGTTGGGCTCAAGTCCAGGGGTTGCTGTTGCTCTATCCTCTATGACGAAGAGCCATCAAGACTTCCTCCTTTCTTTTTGGTCGCCCAGCATTTTCTCATCTTCTTTTTTTATGGCGTCGTAAAACACCTCCCCTGCTTTTAGCGGTACCTAATTTCTCTAATCACAGCTAAAGCTGTTTTCAAATTGCTTAGGTAAACAATGWACTAGGCTGACAGTTGGCAGCTCACGCCAACCCGGGGCTTCGAGCTTGCAACCTTTTGGTTGATAGAGCTTATAATTGCTGATGATTTACCAGCTGTGCTAAACCTCTGGCCCATGGCAGTGTCAAAGGGATGTCCAACACATTGGAAAGGAAACCTTGTGTTTTCAAGGCAAAGGGGCTCCTAACTACAGAGGATCAGCCTTGAAGAAATGAGATGGCAACCTGAGGGTTTGTTTTGTTTTGTGTTGTTGATGTTTGCTTGTTTGTTTACTTTGTGCTTTCCCTTTTCTAGAGCCTTGCTACAATTGATAAAGGGAGCGCATTAACATCTGTTGGGAGAATCGGGAGGTGAAATTCAACACGAATCGTATTGGCCTTTTGGGCTGCTGCATCTCACCCAATTTCATGCTCAACTGAGCCCCCCTTGGAATCCATTCTGTGTCATCTGTGGCCAGAGAGCAAGAAGCTATTAAAGTACGCAAAGCCCTGCATCCGACTCTATATGACTTTTGAGGCCCTTTATTAGGAGTAAGGTGGAATATAACAGGAGACCCCATTGACTTTTGATATGGAATTTAGACCACCGTTACATGATCGAATTTGGCCTGGTGAGCATTTATGCCAACCCAAAGTTCCAGATTACAAACTCACCAGAGAAGTGAAGGCTTTTTAATGCATTTTGACCAAAGTGGATGCAAGTAGGATTCCTGCAAGCATAGGGAGCATTGTTGCTGTGTCGGTGGATTCTCACTTTTGCCAAAACATTTTGAAACTTCTGAGACTTCCAGATCATTCATGGTTTGAAAGTGTTACTTCCTGTTTCATTGGGTGGTCGGTTCTTTGAAAGTAATTGTTATACTCCAGAAAGGGGGGGGGGGGAGGCAAAGGGAGGGAATTCATCCACTCTGGTTTAAAACACTTCTCTGGCTCAAGACAGAAGCCGGGGGAAAGGAAAGGGAGGGAATTCATCCACTCTGGTTTAAAACACTTCTCTGGCTCAAGGCAGAAGCCAGGGGAAAGGAAAGGGAGGGAATTCATCCACTCTGGTTTAAACGCTTCTCTGGTTTGAGACAGAAGCCGGGGGAAAGGAAAGGGAGGGAATTCATCCACTCTGGTTTAAAACGCTTCTCTGGCTCAAGACAGAAGCTGGGGGAAAGGAAAGGGAGGGAATTCATCCACTCTGGTTTAACATGCTTTTCTGACTCAAGACAGAAGCGGGGGGAAAGGAAAGGGAGGGAACTCATCCACTCTGGTTTAACTACTATGACACAGATAGATAGATGATCCTATGGGATAGATAGATAGATAGATAGATAGATAGATAGATAGATAGATAGATAGATAATCCTATGTAAGACGGATAGAGAGCTAGATAATATTATCAGATAGACAGATAGATGATCCTATGAGATAGATAGATGATCCTATGAGATAGATAGATGATACTATGAGACAGACAGACAGACAGATGATACTATGAGACAGATCGATAGATGATATTGATAGATAATACTATGAGATAGATAGATAGGTGATCCTATGAGATAGAGAGATGATCCTATGAGACAGACAGATATATAATATCGGACAGATAGATGTTACTATGAGACAGACAGATGATATTATGAGACAGATGGATAGATGATATTGATACTATGAGATAGATAGATGATCCTAGGAGATAAATAGAGAGATAGATGATCCTATGAGATAGATAGATGATCCTATTAGACAGACAGACAGACAGATAGATAGAGATAGATAGATGATATGAGACAGACAGATAGAAAGATGATGCTATGAGACAGACAAACAGATGATACTATGAGATAGGTAGATGATAGATAGATAGATAGATAGATAGATAGATAGATAGATAATACTATGAGACAGACAGATGATACTATGAGACAGATCGATAGATAATACTGATAGACAGATAATACTATGAGATAGAGAGAGTGAGAGGGAGGGGGGTGATCCTATGAGATAGAGAGATAGATAGATGATCCTATGAGACTGATAGATAGATTAGATAGATAGATACTGTAGATAGATGATATTAGACAGACAGATGGATGATCCTATTAGATAGGGAGATAGATGATACTATGAGACAGACAGACAGATAGAGAATACTATGAGACAACCAAATGATACTGTGAGATAGACAGACAGACAGATAGATTATACTGATAGATAGATAGATAGATAGATAGATAGATAGATAATACTATGACTTAGATTACAGATAGAGAGATAAACTGATGGAAATAGATACTGATATGGATAGATGATATTGACTGAGACTGGTAGGTCAATACAGATATTGATGATTGATAGAGGCATGATGGGGCAGAGGGGTCTTCATCCCTCAGGGTCGCCCTCCTTGAGGCTCAGCCCACTCTTGACCATCACAAAAGGATGTTGGGGTGACCCCCCCTCCAAACATCTGCCATTCATTAACCAGCTGGCTTCCACTGGACAGGGGGCCAGGTGGTGCTGATGGACATGGACTATAACACCTATCACTTCGACACCATTGTTCCCCCCTCGCCAGTCCGGGAGGGGGGCGAGGGAAGCGCCAGCCAGCCTCCATTCCACCAGGCTCCTTCGCCACTCCGGGAAGGGGCCGAAGAGCTCTCCAGGCCGCACTCGCCATTGTTCCCCTCTCGTCAGTCCGGGAGGGGGGCGAAGGAAGCGCCAACCGGCATCCGTTCCACTGGGCCCTTTCACCGCTCCGGGAAGGGGCCGAAGAGCTCGACAGGTCGTGCCCACCATTGTTCCCCCCTCGCCAGTCCGGGAGGGGGGTGAAGGGAGCGCCAACCGGCCTCCATTGCCATCGGGCACCTTCGCCGCTCCAGGAAGGAGCCGAAGAGTTTTCCAGGCCTCGCCTGCCAGGATTTTGCTGCTGCCATCTTGCTCTTTCTTTTTCTTTTTTCTTTTCTCTCTTTTTTTTGGCCTTGTTGTTGTTTTGTAGGTGTGTGTTGGTTGTATGTTTGTGTGTTGGTTGTATGTTTGTGTGTTGCTTGTATGTTGTTGTTGTTATTGCTGGCTGTGACAGGGTGCATAGGAGGGAAAATAAATAGGGTATAAATATAGGAGATTGATAGCATAGGATTAGAGCTGATCTGAATGAAGTGGCCCCAAGAGAGTCCTGTGAGATTGACTGTTGTGATGGTAATTGAAAGTATAGGAATGTTGTAGAATGTGTATGTTGGTGAGAGAAATAAGGTTTGAGAGTGTGTTGGAGAAGTGGAGAAGTTAGAGATGGTGATGGATAATTGGATAAGTTAGAGAAGGCATAGGAAAGTGTAGTGTGGCAGTAGGAAGTTTGGGGTGGTACCAGAGGAAGGAACTAAAGACATAGGAATGGCTAGGACAGATTCTCATAGGACGAATGACATCTTACTTGTGCGATCTCTTGGGGAAATCGTTCAATCTTTTGTCGCACCAGCTTGAAACTTTGAACGAAAAAATGGACCACCTTTTTAGAGGAATTGCTCTTATCATCAAAACACCTGTGCAATATGATCCTCCAAGGGCGGACAATCCCTTGCTTGCAGATCTGATTGAGGACTCTTGCTTAACCTGACCTTGTGTAACGTAACTTATTATTATATTTCTGGAGAGAGAGGCCCGCTGGACCCCGGGTTGGAAGTAAGGGCGGAATGTGAGATGACTGAGGGAATGGGAGGGCTTTTTTGTATGCATGGGAATCAGAATGGTCCTGATTGGCAGGAGACATCTATAGACACTCAGAGGACAACTGTTAACATAACATCAAACTCTATTACTCATCCAACCGCAGTGTGTGGACAAGATCAACATCTTTGGAGAACAGACAATTTTGCGGTAGAAATTGCTGATTTAATGATTAATAGAGGCAGATGGACCTCTAGGAGGGCGGTCTGTAAATCTCTGGCCCAAATTCTATCAAAGAGACCATCGGAAGTCAGAGTGAAAGCCATAACTTGGTTATGTAGAGACTATCAATCATTTGATCGCTTTACCTGTCTTTTAACAGAAGACAATTCATGGCTCGGCGAGCTGGTAGCAATTTGATCTTGCCTAAAAGAATGGGGTATTACCATCAGAAGGGTGTTTGTGGATCCCCATGTTCGCCCCCTTGTTGACACAGTAGAACCTTCCCGCCTTGTTCCATCCGGTTCCTGTGATAAATCCACAAATAGCTCCCCAGTTAGGACCGCCCCACCTGGATTGTATCAATTCGAAACTCCATCTGTACTAGTTGCCCCCTCAAAATCGGCCACACTCTCCTGCCCAAGGACACTCCCCCTTTTTAGCCCACTCAGTTCTCTTGATGATTCCCTCTCCACACTGACATCGGATACATCCCTACAGGACATCCAAGGGAAGTTATGCCCCAGCTCCCTTTCCTCAGAGAGTTGACTAGCCATAGAATCTAGCTCTGTAGGGGGGGAGGGGTTCCAGAGGAGGGGGGGCACCATTCAGGTCGTGTGGGGGAGGAGATTTGCTGGTCACCAACGTCTCAACAGAGTTCTTGCGACCCTGGAGAAGGTAGGAAGTGGTAGACTCCATGACAGACCCCCTGGCCTTAAGGTGGGTCTGTCATGGACTCCATGACAGACCCCCTGGCCTTAAGGTCCTGCTGGTAAATGCCAGATGCGTCATCACTGAGACCTGGCTGGACGAGTTGGGCGGGGTAAATCTCACCCAGCTGTGCCCACCAGGCTTCAGGGTGCACCAGTAGGCCAGGTCTGGGGGGCGGGGAGGAGGGGTCGCAGTAGTCTTTCGGCAGTCCATCGCCATGGTCAGATGCACTGTTCCGCAATCTTCCAGGTTTGAGTGTGTTCACCTGAGGGTGGGGAACCGTGATAGCTTGGGGATTCTGCTGGTGTACCACCCACCCCGCGACTCAGCAGTTTCCCTGCCTGAGCTAGCAGACGTGATCTCCAATTCAGCCGTGGTCTCCCCGTGCTTGATTGTGCTGGGGGACTTTAACATCCATGCTGTGACCTCTAACCTTTGCAGGGATGGAGAACCAACTAAGATGGCCCGCCCCAGGAGACTGATGGATCCGGACGGATTCTTGAGGAATCTTGGGGCTCTTCCTGTCCTGGAGCCTGGTGATCCTGTTGACACCCTGGTTGATCGCTATAAAAGCGAGATGTCCAGGGTGATTGACACAATCGCTCCCGAACGCCCCATCACATTACGTCAAGACACACCATCCCCTTGGTTCACCGAGGATTGGCTGTGATGAAACGTGCGAGAAGGGGGCTAGAGTGCATATGGAGGAAATCCCGAGACGTATCTGCATCTAATAGATCTTCAGAGTTGTTTCGGGTTGTCGGAGAACTCCTTCACCCTCCTGAGGTAGAGGAGGCCTTCGATGACCCGACAACTCGGTGCTGCGTGTTTGCGCACTATTTTGCAGACAAAATTTTGCAGATACGCCTTGAGCTGGACTCCAATTTCATCACAGTGCCAGGGGAGGTAATCGAGGCATCTGCTTG